CACCATGGTGCTTCTAACACACTTTTCGGTTTATTGCGCTTATAACCCCCACATTAGAACTTAAAAGAATTTCGCTGGAACCAATTATCTCTATACATTTGGATATAGTTTCATACGCTTTCCTTGGTGTATCTAACATCTCTATGGATCTTTAGGTACTGCAGCCGGTTGAAAAATGCAGCTCTACATCGAATAGAAGTAAAGGAATACAGTCATTCTACCTGCGAATACTTAGGTTTTAACCATAGCCACCACGATACTACTTTTATCGCGCCAACCTCAGTTGGACAGCACTGCCAAAGTTTCCGATCCCGACCGCTGTAGTACCAGATTTACACCTCCGGTTGGGTGTCGGGAAACAATGTTCACTAACTTTCAGTAATACTAAAAACAGTATCGGGATGGTGTCTTGAGTTGTACAAACAAACATACAGACACACAGACAACAAAACCATGCAAAAGAGATTACGATAAGGGGGCCAACCAAAGAAGCCACTGGTGCTTGACCACTTTAAAACGCAACAGAAAGCTCGCAGGGTTATGATGTACTTTTTTTTGCGAAGCGGTTGAAATTTGGTTTGTCGGCCAAATTACCGAATTATCAACATCGATGGTGACATGGTCCAATTGATTCGTTTGAAAGAGAAAATCGTGAAATAACGTCCGTATATGAAGATAAAAATATTTTTTCACCAAAAGAATGTGCGGTGTTACGTGTCGTTAACTGTTGTTGCCAAATTGTAAAAAACATACTATAAAACATACTCACTTGTTCCCGCACTGCCAGTACTCCCCAGATTTGGCCGTACTACCTGAACGCAAAAACATGCTTCAGAGACAGAAATTTGGCTCCAATAAAAAAGTTATTGCCGAAACTGAGGCATAAGAATCATTGTGATAAGAATGAATCATTCTAAGGTATCGAAATCTATCGAAAGTAGCTTCGGAATGATTATATTGGCCGAATTTTACCAAAAAGTTATTTTATTAGTTATCAAACGATGTTTTATAATAATTTTCTTTTAGAGAAATATTTTTTAATATTTTGTCGTTTAATAATATTAAATTGAAAGCTGCTGCATAATTAAAATACAACAGCAAACTATCAAACGCAAACACTGCACTGCAACGCTCGTAAACTATGTTATTTAAAATAGTTTTTGGTAATATGGTATATGGTAGTATAGTAAAATTGTATGTAGACAAAATTCAGTCATATCAGTCAATGTCTTTTTATACTAAATTTTGCGCAGTATTTTGCTGTATGTTAGAGATAATAGGAAAAGTTTGACAAAAACAACTTTGTTGCAAAATTTGTGGTATATGCCATATACTGCTGACGTGTGGTTGATTCTAAATCCTATGTTATATCATAAGTTTGTTGTGAATATCAAATTGTTACGCTGCTATATACTTACCAACTTCAATTAATGTTTCTGATCATTTTACCAACATTTTGTCAACGTTTTAAAATAAAATTATGTTATACGAATTTTCCTTACCTCACACATGTGCATGTAAATGCAATTTACATAAACTCCTGTTACATGCAGCAACTAACTATTTAATCAGTTAATATTACCATTGTTCTCCTCACTATTTGCGCAGACATTGCCGTCACAACAGCTTCATTGTGCAACTTTGTGGAATAAATTTTTAAAATTAACGAACAGTTTACATTGTTCCATTGAGTTTGCGGAGCGCTCTTCACTTGCATTACGTGTATAAATTATTAAGTTGATTCAATCAACTGCAGTGAAATTAATGAATTATGTTCAGTTTGCGGTTATAGTGAACTTTGGAGCAATCAACTTAAGTAAAATGTGTGAAATTTATTTGTCGAAAAAATTTAAACTAAACTCTTGCAAGCGAAAAATATTATTAAAATTTCCTTTGCACTTCGTAAAGGATAAGGCAATAGAAGGTTGTCAGTTTTTGTATTAATAACTTTTTCACAACACTTTTAATTAACCAACTATGGAAACATAGTTAATAGAGAAGATATAATTTCTCTCTATAAGAGAAAGCAACTTCTATTTGTGGCACCAATAATGTTACTCATACGCACAGGTGGCCACGACAAACATATCAAGCTTTCTTGTTCATAAAATATGTCTGCTTTTAATAAAGTAAACTAAATTAAACATAAATAAACTCATTTCCAACCGTTTATCTAAGTCATATAAGAAAAGATATTTTATTGCATACTTTTATATACGTTGCGTTTATTATTCATTGTTTGGCTTAAGTCAAGTAATTTCATTACACATAAAATGCACAGTAAATGTGTATGTAAGTACAGAGTAAATATTGTTATATGGCAATCAAATTGTATATATATGTATATGTATATATATATATATCTATAAGTAATAAATTAAAATTTTATACAGATTCGTTTATATATCAATATGCAGACATTATATTATAGTTAATGTAGTTTAAATGACTATTCATGCTAATACAATCAGAAGAATATTTAATGCGTTTTTGTTGTTTTGTGATTTTTTACTGTTAAGCCCGTGATTTACATAACTAATTCGTATATTAACTTAATGATTTTATTAAATATTTTGCAAATATTATTTTTTTTTTTCGTTAGTTGCATTTTACTTAGTTTATTAATTAAAACATATTGGCTCACATGCTCATAACTTAGTTAATATGGCTACAATGCCAGCAAAGGAATTATACAATTTTTTATATAAAAACATTTTATGATATTTTTGTCGATTTTATTTAATACTAAATGTTTATTAAGTATTTGTATTAATATTTTATTTTTCTTTATTTTGGTTTACTCTTAATTTTATTCTATTATTAAATTCAATATATGGTTATAAAACTTGATTTAGCTTTTCATTCAGAAATTATTATATTTTCTCTTTCATAAACTCATAATCTTAACTTTATCAATATTCATATTTTTCATTTTTATATATTATATACCATAGTATTTATATATTATTTATATATATATTAAAAACTATAATATATTAATAATAGTATGGCTTGAAAATTATATTATAAATAATATTATTGTGTTATAAATAATAACGTAATATTTAATAATATACTAAATAATATAAATATTGTTTTAGAAGTATTTCGCTGTAGAAAAGAATTTTAAAAAATTGTTCACCTATAAACTGGATTGATTTTCAGGAGTTTATTAAAAGGCTTTTGGAAACAAAAATTAAATTATTTAAAATAAATATAAAAATTAGAAATATCATTGCTTTGAATATTATATAAACTCTTTATCAACTGCAATATTATTATACTCATTAAAGAAATATGTATATATTTATCCATATTTCCATATAAAACATTTATTTATTTATAACGATAAAAATATAAATAAAAAAAAACAAATAAAAATAACAACTTGAAAATCCTTTTGGATTTTAGAAAGGATAGAATTTATTTCCAAATAAATCGTACACAAATCAAACAGCCCTAGAAGTTCTTTCTACTGTAACTAGTTAATCCAAACATTTATTTCGATATTTTTGAGATTTTTCAATTTTTCATATTAAAATAATTAATTCAAAATAGGACAAAGGACCTAGCAGTTCAGTTCCTTATTGTAAGTTAACTTTAAAATTAATTTTTATGTTAACTCTCAAATAAATAAATAAAATTAGTATTTATTTTTAATGTTTCCCAATCTATTTTTGATCAAGGATCGCTATGATATTATTGTTTTCAACGGGGAGCACAAAGTTTTAAAATAATAAACTGTATATTTATTTTAATATGCTTTATGCATCTCTGGTATACAAGTTATTAAATAGGTATTCAAAGACCATTTTTAACCATCATGCGGACCACCGGTTGCGTACCACTGATTTAGTCTAAAATAGTCCATAATATATTAGGGAGAATGGGCTGTCACTGTTCAAAATACTGTTTAAGTACTGTTTAAGCAATGTAAATTGAAATTCAACAATATTAGTTTCCAGTATTTAATGCAAAATATCCTAATAAATAATATTTTACAAGAATTATGCTGTGACTGAATACAACTCTAAAACATTAATAATAATTATTATAATAATTATTATTACCATTATTATTATTATTTAAAAGTTAGAAAGGTTCGAATAGAAATAAAAAAGCAACAACAGAAATTTAGTCAATTTATTGAATTAACTAACCACATTTAAATAAATTAACTAAACTTTTTGTTGCTTTCTTTTCATTTCTAGTCTAACCTCTCACTAATAATAATTATTGTAGATAATATAGCGGATAAATTGCTACTATCTTTAGATATGTATACTATTGTAAAATCTTTGTGGTATCTAACTTCAGTGCAGTTTATAACTATATAAAGAAATTATAAAAAAAAATTTATAAATTGGTCTACAAATGAGATTAATTGATTAAATTCGGTTTATTAACTATTTCTTATAGAAACTAAAACCAAAAGAAGTTTGTTCAGGCCGTACGAAATGTTGATGAAAAATATATAAATACACTCACATAGAACACATATTAAATACAATATATAGTAGTAAAATTTACATTAATAGTTAAAAACATATCCTGTTTTGATTATGAGTTAATTTATATTTAGTTTTTATTTTAACAACTTTCTCTTTGGAACTTGCATATTTATTATTTTTCTTTTTAAATTAATATATTTTTTTCTCGACGCTACTAAAATTTAAAATTATTTTTCAGTTTAACTTCTTAGTGATTATATCATTATTATCTGCTAATATTAAATATCTATATTTTTTATATTTAATGCATATTTCCGTGATGCATATTTTTTGCAACTAAAAATAATTTATTTGTCATTCATCAGTTTTTTTTTCATTAGAGTTGACAAGTTTCATTTGCTTGTAAATCTAAAGTATACATTTATCTTATAACAATGATGCTATGATTATACAGTTTAATAACTAGTAAATCATATGGTTAATATTCTAATAAAAAATACATACATATACAACTTCATAAAGTTTACTTAATTTCAAGTCGGTGTTTTTTTTTATATATTATGATTTCATTTCTTTTAAATAATTATTTAGATATTTTATTATAGCTTCCCATTATATATGTGGATATACTCCTGCTGTGATGATTTCATTCAAAAATAACATAACCTGCACAATAAATAAATTTTTATATGAAATTTAATTAAAATATGTGTTTACTTTAAAAAAGTGTAGTTGTGTTCGCAACTCATGGTTTTAATTAATTCATATCAAAATAAAATTCATATTTAAAATGATAATAAAATAAGAATCGGTTATTATTTTATAAAATATGAATCAACCAACAAAGAGCATCGTTGATAATTAGTTTTCTTTAAATTATTGTTAACATTCTGAATTTATTTTAATTACTGAATCAAAAATTAATCTTTAGTTTCTTTCTCCCTCCCATGCCCTATTTCCTGAGAAGTTCCTTATATGCGATTAATAAAAATTTTCATATAACGTTCATTATTCCACAAAACCCTGTATATTTATTAATTTATAAATGCAAGCTTGTGTAATGACTAAAATTTTTTGAAAGGTTGAAGATTTAAGTAATGAGGTGTACAATATTTTAAATGCCATTAAGGAAAATAAAGCATTACAAACCTTTTGATTTATATATGCCAATGTAATCTGAGCTTAATTCGTGACAGTCTACTTTGCTAGTGCATGTTTTACTCCATAATAGTGTACTTTTCGGTGCCTTTTCAATCTAAACTGATTCTTAAAAAATCTAAACTGATTCTTAATATTAGTTGTCAACCATTTTTATATGTATCACAATATATCATCTCTTTTGTAATCAATGGATCAGGCCTTTTGGTTTTTTATCTCTATAATACGTTCCATAAAATACTGAGAGCTGTGGCAATGAAAACTAAAAAGAGAAACTAATTAAAACCCCGGTATTTTTAAATATTTTGAATAGCATTAACTTTGAATCAATTAATGATGAAATCTAAATAAAGTTTGACTTAAACTTGTCCCATAATGTATGCTTGTACTTAAAAAAATAGTGTTCCAGAAAAATTTCTTTAATAGCAAAAAGATTTAAAGACAGTACAGCTGAAGTTTGGGTAGAACTTTCAAAAAAAGAGGATTAGCCGCTGGAATAATTACACAAGACTCTTGGCTATGTACAGTCGTAGAAAGAAGACAACATAGAAGAAACTTCAGATTGATCTGATCTATAAAAAGTTTGAAAAATAAACTCTATTGGCTTAAAAAGGAAAGAAAGATTTGCTGATATCGTATTTGTACTAAAGTATTTAAAACTTGATCTAAAAAACAATTTCAAATTCCTTAAAGTTAAAAATTGAGCACACAAAATTAGTATTAATATATTTCGACTGCATTAAATCTAAATATTAGTAAACAATAACCTAATTTCATGTGTACATATAGACTTTTCGAACCTCATGTGCATATTTTTATATGAATTTTGCGTGGAATAAAAAATGGCACACTCTATGTGGATTTATAATTACCTAACTTCACAACAGGTGGCAACACCAGAATAAAATTAATTATATGTTGTTTATTTGGAAAGTGTTAAGCGACAGCTATAAAATTTCGACTTCATCAAAAGTTTGGTTAGCTTTTTACAAATAATTGCAATGGTGTATCTTGGTGATTTTTTATAAAATTAAAAAAATTAAATATGGTTCAGTAATAAAATTCCTCCTTTTAAAAGGAATGAGCAATGATGCTATCAAATTGGAAATGGATTCTGTTTACAGCAACCTTGTATCATCATTAACAACAATAAAATATTGAAAAGCTGAACTTAAACGTGGCTCTACGATTGTTTTTGATGAAGAGAGTCCGAGTCGTCCCAAAAAAGTCATAACTGAAAAAAACTATGAAAAAATCCACGATACTGAGTTGGAGGATCCATAAATTAAATTGCGTGAGATAACAGAGATGGCAAACATATCATATGAAAGCGTTTCGAATATATAACATGAATATATGTGTATGAAAAAGCTTTCACCAAGATGGGTGCCGCGTTTACTCACAAATGACTAATAATGACAAGAACTTCGTTATTCTAAACAATTTTAATGTTTGGAAAAGTTTATGCACAATTTAGCTAACTTTGAGCGTCGAGTTATGGCAATTAATGAAATATGGATTTATTACTTTACACCTAAGGGAAAACAACAAGCTCGGGGTAGAGAGGATGGGTAGAGCTCAGGAGTAGTGCTCCGAAACGATCACGAACTCAATAATCGGCTGAAAAAGTTTTGGCTTCTGTATTTTGGGATTCAAGTGGAATAATTATTCATAGACTATTTAGAAAATAGTCTATGAAATAGTCTATAAAAGGAAAAACAATAACATCAGATTGCTATTGCATATTATTGGATCGAATGAATGATCGATTAAATGAAAAAATCAAGAAAAAACGTGCACATTTTTCGAAAATAAAAATTTGGTTTTTTCAGAATAACGCACCCTTTCACAGCTCAATGAATACCACGAAATAAATTACGGGTCAAATTGCTTCCTCACCCATCATATTCTATAAATTTGGCGCCCAATGACTATTACGTGTTTCCAAACTTGAAAAATTGAATCCAGTGAAAGAGATTTGTATCAAATGGTGAAGTGAAAAAGAAAACTGAGGTATATTTTAGAGGCCTTCATAAATCGTATTATTTAAAAGGTATCGAAATGTTGTAAAATCGTTGAAGTCGGTGTGTTAAAATAAGAGGGGACTATACTGAAGTACAAAATATAATTATTCAAAATAAATGCGTTTTTAATACTTAGGCTGGGTATTTATCAATCCACCAGTATTAGTGACACAATTCTAAATATTGCATAAATAATCTATGTATAATTAAATATTATAAACTACTATATATAGGTATATCAATGATATTTTATTTCATGGGCAAAAAGTGAAAGCAAACAAAATAATAAGCATATTCCTATCATTAATAATCAATAATTATTATCGAACTATTATTTTATATTATTATTTTGTTTAATAGCAATAATAATGTAATCTATATCAGCCAGTAGCCAATTCAAAGGGAGTTAAAGACATTGATTCTCTTCTGCTTATATATAATAAATATATTATGCAAAAATTTGGTGAAATGTCAAAATATTACCAAAAAATATTTTCCATTATATACCACCCATTAGCACAATATTGGCTATACCTTTGATTATACATAGATACAAAAAACTTTGAAGTTCAAAAATTTTTACTTTCTTTTTTAAACTTTTTTTTTTTGCATTTTTTTATGATTTTTATTAAAAAATTCTAACCACTTAACCAAATAATTTTTAATTGCATTTATTGATTATTTAAAAAAAAATTAATTTTTTTTTGTTAGAATTTGTTCCAGTGCAAAGTTTTGCTGACTACTATACGTAATGCTTTATTTACACAATTTTTATAGTTAATTTAAAATATTTAACTGCATTTGAGCAACACAGGTTTTTGGGAAAAATGCATAACAGGAACCTACATTTTTGGCAATATTTTAATTATTTTTTTAATGGAAAAAAATAGCAGTTCTGTTTTAAGCATTTAACACTGTCACAGTGATTTTTTTTAATATATTTAAAATTTTCAGAAAAAATATTTTGATTGTACCTACAGAAGACCTCGTGAATATTTCGAATTTCCGAGACGAAAAATTTTTAATAAAATTTGCAATATCAAATGAACATAAAAATAATGACAATATATATTTTTTTAAATTCATTTTATGTATTTTAATTTAATAAAATTAAAAATTATTAAACAAAAAACCGCTAGCAGACACTTAACTGACTTTATGTCATTTTTTTTTTTAAATTTTTGTTTTAAATGAATTCATTGTCACTTTTGGTAACAATTACCTGCTTTGTCATCCTGCGCTTGTTGGCAAATTGCGTGATATTTTAATATCCTGTAGCATCAAATAAGTCTGGCAGCACAAGCGGTGGACAGTTATGCGGACTACAAGTGACACGCGGTGTATCATCATCGGTGGAGCCATCTGTGCAAATACATTGCAGGCAATTTCCTGTATCCTGTGGCAACACATCGCCGATTTTATACAACGTGCCTAAGTGAATATAAAATATACATTTTTTATTTACAAGTTTTTTGTGGTGCAATGGACAAAGTTTTTGATAAAAATGACTGAAGTAATTTTAGTGAAATCCTTTTTAACCTCAACATGTCATATGCTACAAATTGAACTAATTTTTGTCCAACCTGAATAATTCTCGAAAATACTATATGCTATATATATATATATATATAATTTTATAATAACAGTATTAAAAAAGTTTAAAATATTTATTTTTAATCTACATATTATAGTTGTTTAAAAATATATATGAATTTATAATTTTTTTTTTTGTATTTTCTATCAAAATTTTACGAAACCATGAATACGAAATTGCATTAAAAATGGTCCTCGTAAAAGTTTGAATAGCAATTTTTCGAATAATTTAGCTACACAGTTTGCTATAGTCAATGGAAAATGAACACAAGTTTGGAACAGCAGTTTTTGTTTATTAAAATTATTAATATTTCAACTTCAGCTTCAGCAACAACAGTAAAAATTGTTGCAAATTAAATTTTGCAGCTGACAAGCCACAACAGGAAACAGCGCTCATTGCAGTTATGGGATCGAAAACGTCCATAAAAGTACTTGGCACTTCAGAAGTTTTGATATTTGCATTCAATTTGCAGCTGCGCATATTTAATCCTTTTGTTAAGTAAATGCTTTTGCTTATGGAAAACCAATTCGTACTTGTAAATATTTGTTGCACTTTAGTTTCTGTTTTCATTACTGCAAATTTAGTTTCGTATATTTAACTTTAATTAAGCAATAAATAAGCTAGCCAAACATTCTAATAACTTGAAATACATATGTGTATATCTATCGAAAGCGGACTTATATATTCTGGGATTTTAGTTATGAATAGTGGTCCATTAATCATAGTTAGTTAGTTCTTCGAATTGGAGGCAGGAACGAGTACTCCTCAATTAGCTAAGCAAGCCGTTCTAAATCCCCAATTCCTCGTAATACAGGATAAAACAAGGTCGAACTAGAACCACACAAGAGCATTTATAAAGGCGAGCATCTGGCCAACGCTAATGCTGCAGATATCGCTTAGTGTGTTAAAGAATGAGGCCCCCAAAACCTTAAGCCTAGTTCTGGCCAAGCCTGTACATAGACACAGCAGATACTTTGGTATCCTTTCTTTCTTGGTAAACATGCATTGCAGAGAATATCATAAGGAAGGACGAGTCTGGCTCAATGCCATGCTATAGTCCAATGCCCTGTAAAGATAAATTTTAACCTAGATACTTCTAATTTGCTTTCGTATATCAAGTCAGAGGTTCTGCATTTGGAATAGTTTGCCCATGTACCCCTTGAGCTAACTGCTGAGGTAGTATGGGCCTACTCACTAATAGTCTGTCGCCAAAAATTGTCATAAATCAATCTCCGACTACACAGAAGTTGTGTAGCGATTGAATATAAAGCTACCAGAAAAATAATATGAGATTTCATATAATAACCAATATATTATATTTGATTCAAATTATTTTTCACTGAAGAAATTTTAGTTTAAAATTGTTCCAGAGAACAATGGATGTTGCAGTTCTTACTGATCATTGGTGTATAGGAACTCACGCAGAGAAATTGCGTATTCCCCATAACTCTCACTGCAGAAGTTGTAGAAACCCGCAGGAGAAAGAAACAATAATACATTTTCTCTGTGAATGCCCAGCTCTAGCATCCAGAAGATATAGGTTCTTAGGACAATACTTTTGTGATAGTTTATCAGACTGCTCAATGGTGAAGATGAAAGATCTATTAAATAACCTAAATTCAGTGGGATGGATTTAGTCTCTACTCTTCTATACTAGGGTTCTTGAGAGGAATGTGGTAACAAAACGGCGATAAATCGCTAATTGAGGTACATTTGAAGTTATCTTATGACCTGCCACTGCAACCAACAAACCAACCAATCAACCAACAATGGGTGTATCGTGAATAAAGTCTTTAATTCCATTACATCATATATATATTACCATATAAATTTTCAGTTCATTGGATTAAAAGTACTTACATTAATACGTATTAAAAATGTTAATGGAACTTCACAAAATACTTCAAATATGGTATTTCAATGTATCATCATACTTTCAGAAATAGCTTTTTCTTTAGAAAATCACATAAATAAATTGCTTTTTAATAATAAACAATGACAAAACATTCAAATTTATAAAAAAATAATCTTAAAAAATTGTATATCCACATATATGTATGCTTACAATTTCAAATCCTTTTAAAATCTCTTAGAAACGAATCAAAGCAACCATAAGGAGAAATCAATCAGATACTCATGTTTCCAATGACAAACTGGCAATTATTCATAAATCGTGACACCGTCTGCACTTTAATACATTTCGCTTCTGCCCCAAACCGCATGACATACTTAAACTGTTGCCAGTGATTTGCCACACACCCCACTAGAATCTCACTCCATAATTTGAAAGCACATTGGCACCATTTCCGTTTCGTTTATCCACAATATGGTGCCAGTCAATAGCGACATCATTTTATGAAAAATTGCTTAGTTGTTACCGCCACCATCATCCACTCTCGTATCTTCCGTCTGACACCATATTTTGTTCTTTGTATCGGGAACGCGTCTCTGCCACATTTGCCGCTGTTTAGCAAAGTTTCCACGCCAGTACTCAAATGCAAATTCCCGCTTGACTGTGCCAACCGTGTTCCATTGTCTGTTTTGGCAACAGTACGCGCCAGATTCGCTTTGAGATTGCATACAAATGAATACTAATTCAATTTGATTCCGTGACGTTATTCAAGATTAAATCAACAGAAATGGATTTTTCATCTCACATTTTCTGTTTTGCGCTGAAATGAATTCTAATGTGAATGAAATATTGAGTTCCGTAACTCTTAGCGATTTGTGCGGATTGGAATCATCAATAATTGAAAATATTGCAATAATTCAAATTATTTCAAACATTCAGTGTTATTTTAAATGCCTCAGTGTGCTTCACGTGTAAACTTCTGAAATCCTTCTCTAAAGCACAGTTAAATATAATTCTAAACATTTCTATTTACTTAAGGTTTCACTAATAAAGTTTATTGAACTAAGTCAGGTGTACAAATTTTACTGAGGTCATTTAACCCATATTTATCAAAATATACATATTATTATTGCCAGATTCATTGTATACAGAAATCTTCAATTACTGATGCCATTATAATGAATAGTGAATAGATAAGCGATGTTTGGGGGTTGCTTCATTGGAATTACTGCGAAGTAGTATTTCATATAAGACTATTTAATTATATTTTATTGAAAATATAATTTAATGTTTTTAGTTTCTTTTAAGTGCAAGTATACCTCTTTATTTTTAATCCAAGTAGGTTGTTACTAAGTTCTACCTTAATTTAATATGAAAAAGTTAATCCAAACTTATGGTTTTCAATACAAAAGTTGCAAGAAAATTAATGTGCAGCTAATTAATTAACAAAAGTGTTACCAAAGAATACCATTCAAATTGTGTTAAAGCGAATGAAATATATATTTAAAGTTTATCTAAATTTTAATTCTCGTTTATTATGCTTATATTTTTACACATAAAGCTCTTTAATTTTATTATTGTTAAATATTAAATTTAATGTATTAATTCGTTATTATGTAAATTGATTTGTGGTTTTGCTAGTATAGTTGTTATAATCCAAATAGACTACTACTAAGCTCTACCTAATTTTAATAAGAAGGAGTTGGTCTAAACATTTGACCAATAAGTAAACTTTAATTTATTTTCTTTAAATAAATGTTGCTTTATTAATTAACTGAAAGAAAGAATTAAAAATGATAAGAATAATAACACATAAAAAGCATATGATGTGGATCCAAATAAGCTGCTGTTATTCAAAAGTAGTGTCAATAATGTTCTGCTCTATGGCTGCGAAACCTGATTCACTACCCACAACCTGGTTTATAAACTTCAAACCCTTATAAAGAAAATCAGGAAGATTTTGAAAATTTGGTGGCCCCACATTGTAAGAAATTCCGAACTCTGGTCAATATGCCGCCGCAAATGAAACCAAAAAGCGTAAATGACAATGCATCGGGCACACATTGAGGAAGTCACCAATCAAAATCTTTAGACAAGCGTTAACGTGGAATCCTCAAGGAAGCTGAAGACCTGGTAAGCCCAAGTAAAAGTGGAAGCGAACACTAGAGAAAGACATCCAAGCCGGATGAAAAACCTTTGGAGAAATTAAAACTCTCACAAGAAATCGTGATAGTTGGAAAAAAATTTTTTTCGGTACAATGTTCCCCTGGGAACGCAATGGAATGAAAAAATAATGATGTGCATTGTTGAAGGAAAAAATCGCTTTTATTTAAAAGATTATTTTATTCCTCAAAAGCATACCATGTAATGGGACTATTGTATTATAAAATATAAATAAATGTTAAGTTATAAAAAATAAATTTCTAATGGAACATTAAAGATATAGTAACATATATAATAGAAATAAAAACATAAATATTACAAATGACGAAAAAGTTACAGTATTCGATAATAATACTAATAGGCGGTATTTGCAAAATTACAACCGAAGGAAGAAGTGGACTAGAAAGTTTTATTGCCCGTCATTGCGACGAATCTTAAATTGTGGTTGAGATATGCTTTAAACGTATGAGACACCCTACGTGTTCAGCAATCACAAACTTGAGCATATCATTTGTATTATTTCATATTGGAAATAATCAACGGACACGAATATTTGAATTTATTTGGAATAGAATATATATGAAAATATGAAAATAATTTGCGTGAAATAGAAAAAGTATCCCAGGTTTTTTGATGGTAGATGAGGTAGGCAACTATATATATGGCAAAACTAGTCCGATTCTATCAAACATACGCATGTTTAAAAGTAATATATTAGGCCATAATTTAGTGGTCTAATTCGTCACTTGTGTCACACTTTCAAACTACACACATTTTTGACGATTCGGAAGAAATTGACGAAACTAGGTTGAGAAGTTTTTA